AAATTTCGAGTCCTAAGTGCAATATTGACAATATAAAGATTATGAAATAAATATAAACATATAGATTTATGCAGTCTTTTTTGTTTGGTTTTTTAATGTTTAATTTTTGTATTTTTTTTACTTTTTTGTTTGTTTTATAATTTTTTATTTTTTTTATATTTAAAATTTTTTTTAAATATTTTTCAATATTTGTTTTTTTATACATTTTATGATTTTTTTATTTCATTTTTCAAATGATAATTTTCAAAGTAAGGTGTTATGCATAATGGAGCATTACAATTAGTGCATATGTTCCGGCGACGTAAGTGCGAACAAGCGCGAACAAGCACAAAGTGGGCACCGGAGAAACACGCATTGTGCAGGCTACATACACACATACATGTTTAATACATTTAGTATTTAAAATATCACTAAAAATAGTACTATTTTAATCCAAACTCAAGAGCCACAAAAGCGCCTTTCCCGGCCGTCTAAAGGTTAATTAGTCAGAATTTTCTTTAACTAAAATAATCGGTAAATCAGTAATCAAAATTAATCAATCGTCATGTGCAAACTCATAAATAACTTCATCAATTAATAAAATTTATTACTCGACGTGATGGGCTTTGACATGATTGATTGTATCATTGATTAATAATTAATTTCTCAGTCAGTTAAATTATTTGTGATTACACATATGACGGCCAATTAATTTGGATCATCGATTTACCGATTATTTTAGTCAAAAGAAATTTTCATCGATTAGTGTCCAACACCAATCTGCATCCGCGGGCCTGTTCTTTTCACGACTGTTGTCGCTTCGTCGTCATTGCGCATTTTTCTTTCAGTATATTGTACCTGCACAACGGCATTGACGATAACTGCACGATAACGCCTCAATAATCTATATTGGACTTATAATTTTTTACGATAATGTGGTTGTTATCGTTGCATGTGCGGCTTTACTACGAACAACGTAACGATGAAGATATTACCGTTGAAAATTACGGAATAGGCTAGCTGGAGCGGTGTATATATCTTTCACCTCGCCTTTTCCGTGCTTACGCGAAATGTGAACTCGGGCGCGGCTCACGCGGTTACGCCGCCTTGTATTTTTGGAGCACGGCGGCACCTCTCGCAAGGCCTTCGACGGATTTGGCCTTTTTTTCGCTCGATCTTGACAGATCGAATAAGTTCTCGTTCGCTGTAACTCGCGTGACAGCGGCGTCGCAGCGCGAGCGCGACATTCCAGTTTCGATTTTCCTTATCTCTCGCGGCTAATATCGGAATTTTCCGTAAACGCGCAATTGTTTTCTTTTTCGTCCTGTATCGTGTATCTGCTCCTTTTTTTCCTCGATAAGACACAATGCATCTCTCCCTCCAAGACACTTGCATTTCGAACGACTCTTATTTCGCGACGGAGTTTGCGATCCAATTTCACTCGTGGCACAGAAGGCAATTGAGGATTCATGGCCGTATGTACGTGTTTACACATCTGTAAATGTAATTCCGATTCCTCGAGTATATATCTCCTTACAATTCTGCCCCGAATTCCGTCGTGAATTATAGATCGTCCTGTAAATCGAGCCTAAGTGCTTAATTCGATCGAGTTAAATTTTCCTCCTCCTGCTCGTTCCACAGCGAGGAGTTAAAATAAAACTCCGCGGTAACCTTTATCCTTGGTTTCTCCAGCTATCGTCGCTCTTCCATCATTTCGATTATTCGGCCCTGCCCTCTCGCTCTCTACCCCTTCCTGCTCTCTTCCTGCCCTCCACCTGTCTATGGTTACCGTCGTTTCCCTCTCCAGACCTCCGACTCCCTCTCTGTCTCTCTGTTTCTCTTTCTTTGTCGTTAACTCACACGCGGTTTTGCGTCCTGCAGTAATTATGTGGCGCGGCATGAAATATGAAGTCTCTGCGAACCGTTTTTGCACTCGACGTGTGAGTATAAGACGCGCGATATCGACGTACTGTTCTTCTCTCTCTCTCGTTTCTCAACAGCTGTCAGGCTTGATTAGGCAGGTGAAGCACAGGGATCACAGTTAATCTGCGTTCTTCTCCTCGAGCTGCGAATACTGCTTCAGGTGATGTGTCCTTATGCGTCTCTCGGCATAATTCTTATGTAACGCGGCCGCCTATTGTGTTTACGTTACATTACGTTTGCAACGACATCGAAGCCTCGTCGCAGTACTGTTGTCGACTTCGTGACGGATCGCCCCCGATTCAAAATTGAAACACGTCGAAGTGACTTTAACGTCATTCTTATCGTCGTCGCCGTCGCTACCACGTCGGTCCGCCGGCGACCCCGAGATCAGCCGGGACCTAAGAGGATTCTATAAAATTGGATCAAGCCGGGAACACGATATCGATCTCTTCGGGCCTTTCAACGCCACCGTGATCCGCGATCGTGCGTTTCGCGCAGATAATACGGGCTTTGTCGCGAAATCGATGATTACGCTTAGAGAGAGAGAGAGAGAGAGAGAGCCGGATTAGGGCTGATGCGATTTCGCGCGTGAAAAAAGATCTCAGTTCGTGAAATTGGAGCAGGAAGCAGGTGGAAATTCGGCGACGTGGAATGATGTCTCTGCTACACTGTAAAAACTGATGTGTTAAATTTAACATTTCATGTGTCCCAAATCATCCACTATCAATTATGTGCAAATTTAACACAAAACAAATGTGGTAAAAAATAACACGCATATGTAAAAAATTAACACGCATATGTAAAAATAACACGCATATGTAAAAAATTAACACAAGAACTTAATAACACTTGAATACCGTCAGAAATCACAGTTTGTGTGAAATTGACATATGTATAATGTTAAATTAACTAAAATAAAACGTTACTTTAACATTAGAGAGGTGTTAATCTATGGTTTTGATGAAATGAAAATGTTAAATTGACATAATCTATGTCTGACATATTAAATATATCAATTTAACACAACCTGTGATTCCTAACGCTATTGAAGTGTTAAATTCTTGTGTTAATTTTTTCCATATTATGCGTGTTACTTTTTAACACATTTGTTTTGTGTTAAATTTACACATAAATGAGAGTGGATGATTTGAGACACACGAAATGTGTTAAATTTAACACATCAGTTTTTACAGTGTACCACAAACCGAAAACGTTTGTCTGAATATTTAGCTGTATAAAACTTGGTTGCGATAACTGATAACAATTGACTGAGTCACGGAGACAACATTATAGTTTTTCTTTTAATATAAATTCTTTTCAATTTTACTATGTACGTTCTCAGTAGTCCACACGGAAAAAAGAATTTCAGTTCGGGTAACTGAATGGAGACCAAACGAAAGACTCGCTGATAAGAAGTAATATCTCTGAACGAACAGTAAAAGTGAATGAATATAGTTCATTACTGCAGAATGTTGATTTGTTCCTCGGTTACAAAATCCTATAATAAGTTTTACCATAAAATTCTCCCCGTGTAGAAACCTCCTACGGGAATCTCTCTGTTCCTACAACCAAGTTTTTCATCAGGTCCCTATAATGGCAATGGAAAATTCAGTCACACCGACGGAATTGTTTTTTTTCGCGCGCCATTCATCTCGCGCTTGATTATGTCAGCCGAGATCCTGTGAGCGAATATACGAATAGCCGCGAATATCTTTCACGTTTGTTTTCATATCCTCGCGGCTTGATTACAAGGTCGGCCGAGAGAGAATATCCTTAATAAAATAAACCAGTGATGTATCTCGGGAGTATTTCGGAACAGTTCTGTTTTTATTCCGCGGCTATTCTCTCCTTTTTCCTGGAGCGAGAGACTCAATTAGATAGCAACTCCTAAGTGTCACGCGGATCGAGTGTTTGTCTCTTTACGTAAGCACCGATGGCCGCTCCGTAACACACTCGGTAATTATTTGATGTCTGATGGGACGGTATAAGCGTTGACCTTGATTCAAGACAGTTGCCGGTGCTAAAGTGTTCGCGTGGACACGGCTAAACACCGATCTGTGGGCAACCTGTGCTTGACCTTCGCGCGCGTCGGTCATGACGGACTGAGGGAAAAATTACCTTAAAATCAATAAATATTTCTTTGATGTGTGGGTGCCATTAACATATTTATTTAAATCTGAATTCTCTTTATTTAAACCACATATTGTCTACTTAAATCAGGTAGACAATATTTGATTTAAATAAAGAGAATTTAGATTTAAGTAAATATGTTAATGGCACCCATCAAAGAAATATTTGTTGATTTTAAGGTAATTTTTTTCTCAGTGCATCCCGAGAGTTACTTTTGCGCCGTTCTGCCGTCAATTCTTCGACATTGATAGCGATCTAACCCTCGCGCGGCGACATCATTCGCGATTGATTCGATCATCGTCGAAGCACGCACACACATACACACACTTGTTGCCTTTTTTTACGTGTATATTTATGCGCATGTGCTTGTAATGCGACAGATCGCTCGATGCAAACGCGAATCTGCGCGGCACTGTCGCCAATTTATATATACGCGCTCGCGATAAATCGATTAACCCGCGGTTATTCCAGTGAGAACTTAAACTTAGAAGCCGCACAAATACCCGCTCGTCGATCATTCCGTGTCGGAGCGAACGTACGACTCGCCCGGCCGTGTGCCGACTAAAGCCGTGTGTATTTTTAAGCGTTAAAGCGAATCTTCTGCCGAAATGTTTGAATCTCGCGTGCCACAGCCGCCCCCGCCGGACTTTAAGATAGTTACATCGCTAGGTGCCGTATTTTCCATTCATAAATTTAACATTTATCGACAAAAATTGCGTTTCTATACTAAAATTGCGTTACTTTACTATCTAAACATTACTAAGCTTAAAGCTTAAAGCTTAAAGCTAAGAAATTAAAACAAGAAATAGATGAAAATAAAACAAGAAATACACATATATATATATATATATTTTTTTTTTACGAACTCGAAGAAAACTATTATTTTCTATTTTTTTATGAGAGCTTTATTTACGCATCAGTTTAATAGAGATGTGTAAATAATAAAAAAAGGTAAAGTAATAAATTAGTATAAGTAATATAAAGTAAGTAGTATAAGTAATATAAATAATATATAGTAAATAGTGTAAGTAATAAAATATAAGTAATAAGTAGTATAAGTAATATAAGTAGCATAAAGTATTTAAATATGTATATATGTATTTCGAGAGTATTATTATGAATTACATACTTCCCATTGCAGAGAGTGGAAATGTTTTTGCAGAAATTCAGATTTTGAAAACAGAATGGTCAATAATACGGAAACTTGTATACTTGTGTAATGACTATTTGTTAACCTGCAATGTCACAGTAGTCTTTCATCAAAATCCTTACATACAGTTTACAAGATACAGAAAATAGAAGTACCAAATAGCGCGATAGTCTCAAGGAAACACGTAAAAAGTGTTCACTTTAGGATCTACCTGATGCTGCAAATGCTTCGAAGCATCGTACAGACCTTCATAAATCTTTTTTACGCGCTGTAAAGCGCGATTGTGGCTTCGAGTGTACCTTACTCTGAGTTGCAAAAATCTCAGCCCGATCTTCTTTCTAATCGGACGAGCAATCAGATCATACTTTATCGCTGCGTATGTATACTACAAGTTGTTGGGTCATAATATGCACAATCCACAGCGGTTTTTCGATGCGATACACTCGAAATCGCATTGTTATATATTCCAGACTATTTTGCAACCATGCAAAGCAATCCATCATACATATATGTGCCTAGTTATAATTCTGCAATTACACTTTTTAACGGCGAGAACGTGATTAGCGGGAATACACGCGGACGTCAGCTACTGATTGTGATATGATTATTTATGAAAATGGGATTTGGCGCAGGATTGTTCGTGGAATTGCAGCGCGCACCGATGATTCGACTCATTTGGCGCAACGAGTTCGCAGCCGCACTTTTCGCGAGTATGTCGCACTTGCGCGCGAGATGAAATTCATACGCGGACATTACACCGGCGCCGCGACACCTCGATGTATCGCCGTCGATACGCTGTCGCCGCGTTATTGCCGCCGTTACTTACTTCTATGATCAAAACCTAGCTAGGAGCGTGTCGGCGGCTCGGTATCGCCGTAAATCAGTTGAGAGGAAAAAGGAAATGAGTCACTTGCTAGGTAGTTCATCCGTGACGTAATCGCATCGGTTTCTAGTAACGGAAGCTTTCGCGCTCGAGTCAGCAAGTTGGAAAACGATCAGTCTGACGTGAACGCGAGAGACTGGGAACGAACCCAGCGATGGACTTCAATCGGCCATAGTTATGCGATCTAAACCATTATGATTTTCGGGTTTTGTTACACTAACGGGTAGTCCATACGTCTCTCTACATAAAACAAAAAAGGATTCTAACCTTATGGGCGCCTAAGATTAATTGGAGAACAATTTATTTTCTGCTAGTTGTATCTCTTTTATTCAGTTTTAAAGGTTAAGCTTGTCAATGTGCTTAAGGTACTCCCTTAAAGAGAAAAAAATTGACCACGCTTGACTGCTTGAACGATTGCGAAGAACCTCAGCGCTGTCTACACTTTCTAAATCCTGTATTAAATTTTCTTTATTTTTTTTTAAACGTACTTCCAACGTGAGTTGTATCACTCTTGCATTAATTACGGCTAATTAAAAGGCATTCCGGAATTCATAATAATAAAAGCGACGAAACATTATATGGGGTTGTGATTGCGCGAACTCTACCATGACGTAATTTCGCGTATCGGTTGTTTATTTCTTTTTCGATCGTCTTACAAAATTCGTCCGGATATCGCTTTACTCGTTAGAAACTCGCACGACGAGCGTCTGTTTGCTTTCAAAATACACTCCGTTTTATCTTCATCGCTATTATCGAAATATAATGGCAACCAGTGGAATCGCGCTGACACATCATTAACATGCTGTCTCAGCAATTCGCATAATTACCAATTTGCTACGCTGTAGTCGCGACAGTATGTGCGCTCGCGCTGCCTGGATAATATATACACATTGTGAACAGACCGCGGTCGAAGATCCCCGGGAGACTTTTTTTGTGGCGCAATAATCGATTGCTTTTGCAGTTCTGAGGAGCCGCGCGGCCTGAATTATTCAGCCGTGAGTCAGCCCGCGCATACACAAGGGCGGATTGCAGGAATCTCGTTAATGAGTTTTCTGATATGGCCTGATTGGACCATGCCTGAATAACGGCGATTGAACCGACCGGTTGCGCGACTTTCCGTGACCCCAAGGCGTGATCACGAATATAAAATTATTATTTATTTATCTCGCGGGAGATTTTGGCCCCGGTGCACTGGTAGAGCTCGGTATTTTCACGGGAGAAGTGATAACACAGTGAAAATGACGATTTTCGGACGATTTTCGGTTGATTACGAGGCGCGAGCTGACAGATACTAGACGCTTATCCTGGTGAGTTGAATAAAGTAATTCGTGTTTGAAGTTAAACAGAATTTTAGATACGGAGAGAATATATTTTTTCTTGTATGAATTCTGATCAATTTTATTATACAAGGTGTCCCGCCACTACTGCATTATCTTTTAAGGGCGGATTCCTGAGGTAATTTGAATAAAAAAATCCTAATGCAAAAATGGCGAGGCTATAATACTTTTCAAATTATAAACGTTTAAAGTACGCGCGCTCAGGTATGGTATAACACACAAAAGGTGCATGCACATGTCGTCCCTTTTCCAAATATTGATACGGAAGTTCCATACATACAACAACATATAATAATCTGTAATATAATAATAATAATCTGTCCTTTCTATCATTTAATAAATAAACGTATCACAAATAATAACAATTTTGTCAAAATCTTATTAATAAAATATCACACAATACATTTATAAGAATCAATAAGCTGTCATTTAACGTTTCTTTCAGAGATTTACAATTAATTTCATATCTTATGCAAATTTTCACTTATGTACATGCATCTGTATCATTGTCTGTTGTACCGTACCTGAGCGCGCATACTTTAGCCAATATAATTGGTCAACTTCAATCGTTTATAATTTGAAAAGTATTATAGCCTCGACATTTTTGCATTAAGATTTTTTTCTTCAAATTACCTCAGGACTCCTTGTATGTTTTCAGTAGTGCACTGATGAATAAAAGTTGATACCGTATGAACGAATGTTTCAATAAATTAGAATTCGACATCTCGTAACATCACAATAAGTAAAGTACATCAGATTCACTCTATAGTTTTGAGTGAAGATATTCACTCGACGATTCCGAATGGAAAATTCACTTTATATCATTGAAAAATCGCAGACATTCAAGTGACTCTTAGTGGTCACTCACTTCTTCAGCGAAATTTTGCTCCAAAAAATTTAGAAAATACATCCGAGTCGAAATTTTGCCCTTGAAATGTTGAATCTTGAATTCTATATCGCAGTAAGAGCTAAGATAGCAGAGTAGGTTTAACTCTAATAATATAATTTACTTCTACTTTGACCCTGATGATGTCTGAAATTTCCGCTTTTGCTTTCTTTAGCGTCAAAGTAGGTTGTATAATAGTAGGATTTTAGGGAACAAAGTAGGTTCAGTTGCGAACCTCTATTGAAGTTTTAGCTCCTACATAGAATATATGTATTTTATAGAAATATTTAAAAAATTTAATGAATAACGAAACAGAAATGTCAAATAGCATACAAAATATACATTTTATTTGTTGCATATATTTCAGACATTTCAGACATCATCAGGGTTAAAGTAGGAGTAAATTATATCATTAGAATTAAACTTACTTTGCTATCTTAACTCCTACTACGGTGTAGAATTCAAGGTTCAACATAGGATCCAAATTTCGACTCGGAAATGAGTTTTAATATCGTCAAAATAGGTTTCACCTAGGTTGTAGATTATCTAAGTAGGCTCAAACTATTTTTAAGAGTGTCAAAGTAGCGTCAAAATTTTGACAAGGTAGAGTTAAAAGTTCAAAAGCGAAGTTAATGAGTATCAATATCGTCAAAATAGGTTCTACCTACACTGAGAAAAAAATTTACTAAATTTCAAAAAACGTTTGTTTGGATAGTACTGTGAAGATATTTGTTTAAATTAAGTAATTATTTTCTAAAATTAAAGAAACAAATTTATATTTAAAACTTCTTTATTTAATTTTAGAAAATAATTACTTAATTTAAACAAATATCTTCACAGTACTATCTAAACAAACGTTTTTTGAAATTTAGTAAATTTTTTTCTCAGTGTAGGCTATAAACCGTCTAAGTAGACGCAAACTATCCTTGAGAGCGTCAAGATAGTATCAAAATTTCGCCTCGGGCATTCTGAGTTTCTTTCAGCTCGTTTCAAATGAGATTTCATTTCAGGAAATTTCGCGGGAATGAACAATGACACTTTCCGATGAAGCGCCTGGGAGCGAGGATTAAATGACATATCGCATAAGCCGGGTCGCGCTGATGTTAGACTTCGTTGGCAAACGCCACGTCGACAATGTTACCGCGTGATATCCCCGTAATCTACTGAAATACGAAGCATCGGCACTCCCCATTTCGCATATATGTAAATCGTCGTGCGTCGTACGCGAACAACGGTGACGGTGTCCGGGTCGGTGTGCGTTTTACGCGATTTCGCGATTTCTCGCCGCGCGATAGCTTGCGTCACGGACGCAATTTTCTATTTTACACTCACGGGACAACGGAAACCCGGCGCAGTTCCGCAAATTACTTCGTGCAGCTCGGGAAATTCTCCGGCGGCGCGGTGGTGGCGCGATGAGATAGCAATTTGGAGTGGAGCGCGTTTAATTTGAGAGAGCGCGGGGAGCGATACCGCACCTCGATTGACGTCGAAAATTGTAGGCTGTATCAGCGGTTGCAACACCATCTCGTGATCCGCTTTTGCGCAGAGAGATTCATGGATATAAGCGCCACACACACTGCAAGTACGCGCCATCGCGTCGCACCACGTGTGTCGAAATGATCGATCGTTGCGAGATAGAGCTTACTCGATCGTCTCGTAAATAGCACATTGCTCTCCGTCGAATCGGCACACTATGCACATTTTACGTATATTAATGTGTGCACGAATTAATCACGCCATAAATTACATCTCTCTCTTTCCGTCGATCGCGTCGATTGTATCTCGCGTTCTTTATGCATTTAATTACAGAATTCTGACAGAAGCAAAAATTAGATAAAATTTGGGGAGTTGTAAAACGTTACAAATTAATTGGGATATGAGTTCTTTGTTACTGTCTATTGACAATATCTTGGTATATAAAAAACTAGATATTTATGTCTATTGACAATATCTTGATATATAAAAAATTAGATTTTACGGTGAATATTAATATCACTCTATGTCCATTTCATTTCTATTCTACAAAGAATCATGCTTCAGCGATAACTATCCTGATCTCAATAGGAGTGAGATTAATATTAATACATATTTTCTTATTTATTAGGATTATAATTATTGGTTCAAAGAACAGATGTTGGAAAAAAAATATTTTGAAAATATTTGGAAAAAAATGAGAGTTAAAAAGTCAAATTTAATCTTTTCTGAAAAAATTCGAGCTTGTAAAAAATTATTTTGAAATTTGCGAAAAGTGTCTTCATGGACTGATAATCATAATCCTAATAATTATAAAAAAATGTATTGATATTGATTTCAGATCACTCTTGTATGTTGAGACCAGGATTACCGTTAGAGCATGATTCTTTTGTGGAACAGAATTGAAGTGGATACAGTGATGTCAATATATATTATGATTCATCATAAAATCAAATTTCTTCATATTAAGATATTGTTAATAGATATACATAACATATATTTATTCCTATATTAATTTATAATTTTCTACAATTTCCCAAATTGTACCTAATTTTTACTCCTATCAGGACTCTGTCGCTTAAGGACAGTTTGGTCTGGCAATGGTACGGCTAGGCTGAATTTACTAAGTTGATCCTATCTTAGTACGTGGTAATGGTTCAACTATATCCATGGCTATTTTATCAAATGTCCATCCGGGGTGATTCTAGGGGTATTCTAGTATGAAGGTCCGTTTTCAAGGCGATTTTTGGGAATTAATTTAAAGTAAATGGTTAAACCTACAGAATTAATGTTTTGTACTGACATTTCTTCATCTTTGAAGAAACATCTTAAATTTTCTCAAAGTTTTATATTCAAAATTAAAGAAAATCCAAGTGGATGAAACAGGTTGTAAAATTGTCTTCCATCGGGCAAATTGATTGCCGCCGTCCTCGTCATCTGAAATAAACGAAATTGCGTTTATTTTGTTCTTTATGAATGTGGCTATCGCCCGAGATAGAATAAAATAATTTGAAGAAAAATTGACAAAATGGCGGTGCTTGAAAAATAATAGTCTGATTTTTACTAAAAAATTCTAACTGTTCGCGGTCCGAAAAAATAGTAATTTTAAAGATATCGAAAAGATTCTAATTCGGGCAATAATCAACAATATGTGTACTATATGTGTGTAAAAGCGCAAATGAATCGGCCTAGTAGTTTCCGAGAAAAATATTCGCCCGATTTGAAAAATGTCGATGTTTCGAGAAAAACGCATTCAAAGATTCTTATGTACTTATGAGATGGATAATGAGTAATTAGAGAAACTTACCCTTAATCTGCTATACTAGGGCCATATAAGAAATCTTCCTCAACTTCATAAAACCCACGTTTGTCAGCTTCCTCTTGTCTCTTGGTAATTCTTGCTTTTTTTCGACTCGTGCGACGCTCGCTGCTCCGAACGTTTAACGCACTCGTTGTTTCTATTATCCGCGAAGAATTTTGCATTTTGACCGATTTGTAGCCCCATTACATTTGTAGTCCATTATTTTTAAAATTGTATGAAATCCTTCATTAAACAGGCAAACAGCCAAAAAAATTACAACTTCCACTGTCTTCTTTCTACAATGCAGATGTTTTGGTGCAATTGTCCGAATTAATGAATTTAAACTTTTATTATTCTGAGTAAATAATCCGAGGCATCGCTGTAATAAATCATGCGTAGTTAAATCTTCGTAAATAGGTTGGGTGACATTTAACACTTCGTCATTCATCTCGCGGTCGGCGCGCCGTATGGAGGCTTTTAAACCTTTTAAAGGCTGCGTCTTTTAAACTCGGTCAATTTAACGAATTTTAATATTTTAGGGATATATTTTCAAGACTTTAAACTATAAAAATATGCAAAAAAAGAAAAATCGATTTTTTGGATCCGTCACACTAGAATACCTCTTTAAGTAACTATCGTATTCTCTAAATTTCTTGGAATGAAATTTCACTCGAAGAGTAAAGTGACTACTCAAGCCCGAGTGACTTTTTATCCATAGTGACTTATCCATATTATATTTCCGTAGTGTCCATAGTGATCCGAGTGACTTTTTATCCACAAAGTGAATTCTCCATGATTCTCTGAATCATG